TTCCAACTGTGCATTGGTCCTCTGACATTTCAAGGCAAGGTAAGGGCCCCTTGCTTCACCTCTGCCACACCTTGGTGGCAAACTACATTACCTGTTGTTTAGTTTAGGAAATGTCATAAAATCAATTTAGTTTCAAGGTAACTTGTTTATCAAGGTGAACTTAGTTCCTTGTTGCCTTTCACCTCTTTGGAGGACCAAAGATTCTTTAGTGGAGGGAGTATTTAACCTGGACTGTAGCTGATAATTGTTGAACTTCTTCCTTTGTTGCTGCTGTATTATCCTGCTGCAGTGTGGACAGGGTTAAACTGAATATTCATTAATGCAGGAATGCTGCAGTTATCTTTAAGAAGACCACTTTTCAGTGCTCCTCTGTGGAGAGTCTCCATTGTAGGGGGCATCCACCTTGGCTGGATCTGAGTCGAGCCTGCATGGACAGTGATTGGCTGCTGTAACAAAAATAGGGGATGCAGGTTGCTGAGGGGATGAGAGAGGACAGTCTTAGAGTAGATGGGGTGAGAAAAAGAGACTGGAATGCTGTCTGAATGGAGAAACTCATCTGCTGGCTGAACGGAACCCTGCCATAGCATCACACAGGACCTTGCTTCACAGATGGGAAATTTCTCCTTGGGAAGGTGTGAAGTGTGATTTGGATACTTGGTGTGATCAGACTGTACTACAGAGCATTCCCACCTCTTGTAAGGAAGGAAAAGGGGGACTGTCTCAGCAGGATTGAAAGAGAGAAGTCTGAGGCCTTGCCTGAGAAGAGGCTGCCCTGGGTCTGGAAAGAGAGTAACATTGTACAAGCTAATCTGTTGTCTGCTGGGAACTATTGTGCTTTCTTCAAGGGCCCTAACTTTAACGGCCAACATTTTTTTACATCATTCACTGGCCAGGATAACACAGGGACTGTTATAACAAGTTAAGACTTTATATACTGTTTCTAGGTAAAACCAATTCAGTTTAACTATATCTCTCAGAGTAACATTATTGTCGTATTGATTGTTTGTATAAGTACATGTGCTAATCCTCTCTTTATTTAGGCTATGCTTGGCCTAATAAATTCTTTAAAATATATCAAGGTGTGCCAAATGCTGGGTGAACGAGGTGTATCATCTTCAGGTGTGTACAGAAATTGCAAGATTACTCAGCAGCTCTTCTGGGGTAGTGCTGTAAGGGGGATACAACCTAAGGGAATTGTGCATGTATACTCATAGAGATCTATGAAATACAGTATCTTTTAATTTTGCCTTGACATACACTGAAGTCTGGAGTTTCACTCTGGGGAATTCATAGAGTGTCTGAGACACATTTTTAGAATTCCGACGTGCCTACACATGACAAATGTTGGTGCTGTATGGTGACATATGGACACTCCATCCTCAGTTAGACAATGCAGCGGTGGAAGTCTTGTACTGGGGGGGGGGGGTAGAGCCCAATGGAAATTTACAGACGATAGTTCTCCATTAGGTCCACTCCCCTTGTAATTGAGAGCAGGTAGTGGGCAGATCCTTAGCCAATAGACAGCATGCTATTGGCTAGAGAATTTACCCAATGCCTGCTGTCAATTACAGCAGAGGTAAGAGTGGACCTGATAGGAAACTAGTGTCTTGGCACCTCATAACGCTCCATTCATTGCAGCATCACTGGTTGCTAAGATGCTGTTGGCTATGAATTTGAATTTGGTCATTATTTTTTAATTTAGTGTTGTAAAAGTGACACTATTAAGAACTCCATGAATCTGCCATATATGTTGGTAAAGTTAACAAAACTGGTGGTAGGGGCTTTTGAATCTAGCACAGGCCATTTTAAAGAACTGTAGCACCTGGAATCGTTTGATATTGCTTTATTGAGTTGCCTCAAATGTGTTCGATAGTTTTCTCCCCAGTACCTTTTAGTGCACTGCTTTATAGAGGTGGAATAACTTTTCTAATACAGAAAACTCAGACAAACCATGAAAGAGAAGGAATCCAATGATTACATGGTTAATGATGAAGCAAGCCTAGCGAGGAGAATTTTTAATAGCAAATGTGAATTTTTGAAGTTAAACAGTGTTCTGCTAGAAGGCAACTGAAACAGATCGACATATTTTTAATTAAATGCATTTTTTTTGGTAAATGGTCAATTAAATACTGCAGAATTTGTTTTATGATTCCAGATACTGCAATCAAATATTTGGGAATGTGGAAAGATTTCAAGTAAAAGAATGCTAAAGAGCTGTAATGCTACTATTTGCTATGAACTCTATCAAACGATTAACCTCTGAAGATCTGCAATAAATGAACCTACAATGGAATTTTAATTGTATAAATTAAGTGAACGGTCACAGGGTCACCATGTGCATTCTGTTGTAGCTAGGTAGTATGAAGCAAAAAGGAACCCTGTCTCTGCAAATCAGTTTATTTAGATGGATGTAGATATCTTTAGAAAATCCTAGATACTTGAAGGTGTGATTTCTTGTTTCCATACCATACCTCTCTGCATTTTAAAATTCAGCCAGGCAGATACACAGGTCTGTGCAAAAGTTTTAGGTATACTAGGTGTGAAAAAATACTGCAAATTAAGAATGCTTTCAGAAATAGAAGTGGCAATAGTTTTTTTTATCATTTAACAAAATGAAAAGTAAATGAACAGAAGAGAAATCCAAATCAAATTAATATTTAGTGTGACCACCCTTTGCCTTCAAAACAGCATCAGTTCTTCTAGGTACACTTTTTGGAGGACCTCAGCAGTAGGTTCTTCCAAACATCTTGGAGAACTAACCACATATCTTCTGTGGATGTAGGCTGCCTTAGATCCTTCTGTCCCTTCATGTGTTCCCTGACAAATTCGATGATGTTCACTGAGGGCTCTGTGGGGTCCAAACCATCACTTGCAGGACTCCTTGTTCCTCTTTACGGCGAAGATAGTTCCTAATGACATTAGCTGTATGTATGTTTGGGGTTGTTGTCCTGCTACAGAATAAATTTGGGGCCAGTCACACCTGTTTGTATGCCATGACAGACAGGTATCTGCATTTCTTTCTCTGCATTGCTCCAGACAAAATCTTCAACTTCATTTACAGAAATGCAGCCCCAAACATGCAAGGAACCTCCACAAAGCTTCACTGTGACCTGCAGACACTCATTATTGTACCACTCTCCAGCTCTTCAGCGAACAAACTGCCCTGCTACAGCCCAATATTTCAAATTTTGACTAATCAGTCCAGAGCTGTCAAGGTCCTACCTTTTCCCAGAGACTGTGCGGCTTCATGTACTGGCGTCCATCTTGGGTTCCTGCAGAGCATGGTGGGAGTCTTTTATGCCTTCAGGTCTCTGAGGTCCATCCCCCAGAGGGGTGTGGCTGAGTAAATATAAGCCTGTGATCCGCACATGCTCTTTGCACTTGTGTCTTGTGTCTTTGTCTTGCTACAGCTCTGTGTATACTCTCGTGATTTCTGGTATCTGACGCGGCTTGTGACTAGACCATTCTCTGTGTTTTCCTTCGATCTGAAAATTCCGTTGCTGAACCCGGCCCGTGACCTGTGATTCTCTGTCTACTGTTCTGTACCATTTTGTCCCATTGTTGTGGACCCGGCCTGCCTGACTACACTATTGTCATTCTTACCAGCTACACGCCATTGGCGACGGCCATTACCGCAGCCGGGGTGTCTCAGGGGCACGACCTGGTTCCTGGCTGCGTCAAGTCCATCCCTCCATCAGGGGCCCTGGTGAAGGGCAACCTGGGACTTAGCCTCTGCGCCCTGAGGGACTTCGGTCTGTTGGTGGTGGTTGTCGTCAGTCAGTGCGTTACCCTGCCACTAGGCCTATCTGTCCGTTCCACAGCCCTGCCCTGACAAGAGCACTGCTGCCATTTTCCTGCCCCCAGTTCCTATGTTTTCAAGCATAGTTGAGTAACTTAGCCTTGTTTCCACATTGAAGGTATGGCTTTTTGGCTGCAATTTTTCCATGAAGACCACTTCTGGCCAGACTTGTCCAGAAAGTAGATGGGTTTACCTGGGTCCCACTGATTTTTTCCAGATCTGAGCTGATAGCACTGCTGGACATCTTCAGATGTTGAAAGGAAGTAAACATGGTGTTTCTTTCATTCTACTGCATTGTTTCCTTGGCCGATCACTGCATCTACGGTCCTCAGCATTGTCTGTTTCTTTGCGCTTCTTCAAAAGAGCTTGCACAGCACATCTTGAAACCCTAGTCTGCTTTGAAATCTCTCCTTGGAGATACCTTGCTGATGCAGTATGACTACCTTGTGTCTTGTTGCTGTGCTCAGCCATGTCGCATGATCTGTGATATGAAACTGTTTTCCACAACCTCACTTTAGCAACCGAGTTTGGCTGTTCCTCACCCAGTTTTAAACCACTTGCGCACCAGAGGATTTACCCCCCTTCATGACCAGGCCATTTTTTGTGATACAGTGCTGCTAACTTCAACTGACAATTGTGTGTTAATGCAATGCTGTACATAAATTACATTTTATGTAATTTTTTTCCTCACAAATAGATCTTTCTTTCGGTGGTATTTGACCACCTTTTTTTTGCACTATAAATAAAAAAAAGACTCACAATTTTGAAAATAAAAAAAAAAACCTTTTTTCTATAAAACATAATCAATAAAAAAAATTTAAAAATCAAATTTCTTCATAAATTTAGGCCAAAATGTATTCTGCTACGTCTTTGCTAAAACAAAATTTCAATACGTGTAAATTAAGTGGTTTACATGAAAGTTATAGCGTCTACAAATGGGGTATATATACTGGAATATTAATTTATAAATTTATTTATACTACTAATGGCGGCGATCAGCGACTTATAGCAGGACTGCGAGCAGGGGCGGACTGACCATTTGGAAACTCGGGCACTGCCCGAGGACCCGGGGTCAGTAGGGGGCCCCATGAGATGCCCCTGGTACCTTTTTCATAGGCTTTTTTGATTTTGGGCAAGGACACAGGGGCCCATGATCCCCTATTGCCCGGGGGCCCCATGAGTTGTCAGTCCACCCTGACTGCGAGATTGCAGTGGGCATTCTGACACTGGGGGGGAACTGACAAACTGCCACTGACATCCCCAGTGACACTAATACAGTGATCAGTGCTAATAAAAAGCACTGACACTGTACTAATGACACTGGGCAGGAAGGGGTTAACATCTGAGGGGATCAAAGGGTTAACTGTTTGCTGTGTTTTGCTAGGGAGATATGCTGTTTTGTATTTTTCTGCTGTGACTATGTAACTGTGGCCTCCCAAGACTTGGCTGAGTTTTCAGACAAGAAATGATGTTGAGAAGTATTGTTTTTATATTATTATTTTAAAATGCATTCTTGTTCCAAGCATTATCCAATATATAATAAATGTATGTGATGAATTAATTAAAATATAATTCATGTGATGTATTTTGTATATATTTGTGTTACCAATCATGTCTTGCTGACTAAATAGATTCTAATAATAAACCTGATATATATGATGATGACGTGGACACTGCTCTGTAAAACGTGTTGCATATGAAATTCATGAACTTTCCAGCAACACCATACTATAGACTGAAACCAACTTGAAAGATGTATTAGATTGGATATACTGATTTGAGAGAGATAACCAGTAATTATTAAAATTTCTTAGGAGTATTTCAAAATTAATCCACAGACAATTGTTTTTGGCACTGCAAAAAAGTTGTTTTTTGATATTTTCACCAAAAAAATAGAAATGGTTAAAGTGCAGTGGGACCCGTGTAGATGGGTAATATACTATATACAAAAGATACTTGATGTAAATGCATATAGCATGTGATGGGTAATGTTAAAAAAACCCTCAAAAAACCCCCCACATTTTTATTTAAAATAATATCTTATAGTCACTAAGTTACTTGATGTAAATGCGTATAGTATGAAATCTATTTAAATGGAAACACTTTCTAACCAATGTGTATAGATTTCCAGCTGTCAAACCTGTACAACAGAATGTAATCACTGCCTCGAATGTGCATCACGGTTTACGCATTTCAAGAGCCTACCCTCTTTTTCAGAGCCACTTGATCTGTACCGAAGCTGACCAATATTTTGCAGATTATAGAACAAACATTTGTACAGAAATTTTCATGAAAATTCTTAGTACAAGCAATGACGTGATGAGTGTTGTTTGAAAGTACTTCAAAATTTAATTTTTTTTTTTATATTCAGTTTTGGAATGCTTGGATTTTAATTAGATAAATAATTGCCTCACATATCACTCTACTATTTTTTACTGGCATTTTTGTAGGAAATTCTTATTCAAAAAGCAACAAATGGGGATGCAATAAACCCACGCAGCAGACCCATCATGGTCTAAAACATAACTTTTATTGAAGATCTGTATAAAACAAATAATACATAGAGTATAAAGAAGACAAATAACTACCAGGTGTGTGACCTTACTTATAGGGAAGTATGGGTCTTGTGCAGGGCAGCAGGGGCATTTTTTATTTATTTCAGGTACTTATATAGCGCTGACAATTTACACAGCACTTTACATATATATTGTACATTCCCACTAGTTCCTAACCCTCAAGGGGCATACAATCTAAGGTCCCTAACTTACATTCATACATACACATACTAGGGCGAATTTAGACAGGATCCAATTAACCTAGCAGCATGTCCTTGGAGTGTGGGAGGAAACCAGTGTACCTGGAGGAAACCCATGCAGGCACAGAGAGAACATGCAAACTCCAGTCAGGTGGTGCTGTGGTTGGGATTTGAACCAAGGACCCTAGTACTGCCAGGTGGAAATGCTAACCATTTAGCCACCATAATGCTGGAGGTTATACACAGATACCTGCAACAAGGGTAGCTCTCAAAGATACAACATGTCACCAACCAGATACTTTACACTGTTGTTGGGAAAGTAAATAACTGTTATCTGAATAGAGAAGTGTTCAAGGGGAGGTCAATATATATATATGACCTACCCCCTCTAACTTCAGGCTTGGACTAATATTAGAGGTCCCTGTGGCTACTGAAGGGCTTGACTGCCTACCTAAAGCCTGACATGCCACAGTCACCAATTCCAGTCCCATAACATTACTATCTTGTTCCATGTATACAGCACTAATACATCTCCCTTTAGAACAAAAGCTCTACTTACTCTAAAAGGAGATAAATGCTCATTTTAAATTGAAAAACAAAATCAAATAAAAAGCCTCAACAGAACATGTTTCACCTCTAGGCGAGGCTTCGTCAGGGGTCCAACGTGTAATATTGTGTCAAACAAAGCACATGGAAAATGGCATACAGATCTTCAATAAAATTTACATTTTAGGCCATGGTGCATGAGTTTACAACATCCCTGTTTGTTGTTTTTGAATAACTGGACTTTCCCAAAAGAAAACCATAAACACAGTTAGAAATGATGAGGAACTCAGCAAATGTGCATGTAAAATATTCATTATGAGCAGCACTGAATTTAAAGATAATTAATGAAAGCCTAAAACTTACACAAGGCTGCTAGTTAAACCCACTTGGCACATGAAAGTTTACAATATCAATTTCACAATTATTTAGCAGAAGTTAAAAGATTTATTTAAACCCAAACAGCATGACAATCTTCTTGAATTAGTAAAGATTTTAATCTTAAATGTATTGTATATCTTTTTTTTTTTTGGAAAAGAGTAGGTGGCACTTTAACAATGTTCCTTTTTTCTTATAATGTTATAACGTCTCCGAGGGTATTCAACAATAACAGAGAGTAATTGTATAATAATTCTTACACTTTTCAAGTTCTTGTGGTTGAATGCTTCCCACGTGTAAGAGATTTCAAGGACATATCTATTAAAACACCCCCATAAAAAGCACTTATAGAAATTTTTATGACTAGAAAATAAAAAGATTCTGCACAAAAACATCTCAAGCATAGGACAAGTTACCACACCTCGCTGAAAATGATATAAACACTGTGAACATAATTATATTGATTTTCTTTTTGTGCCATTGTGTCATATACTTGTACATATAAACATGATGGGTAATTGAAACAACTTTGAAAAGTAATTAAACCAAAATTTTTTACGTTTTTTTTTTTTTTTTTTTGTACAGTTCATTTGTTTATTATATACAATACCACACTTGCAACCGTTCATTTTAATCTGGAAATATGCTGTACATTTTTTTCTTGTTCAACATTTTTATTATGAGATTTGAAGTATAAAAACAGAACAAAAATAGAAACCCAGATCTGCATTGGACAAACTGACAATCATGCTGGCTACAGTATCTCACAGAAGTGAGTACACCCCCTCACATTTTTGTAAATATTTGATTCTATCTTTTCATGTGACAACACTAAAGAAATGACACTGCTACAATTTGTGACATAGTGAGTGTACAGCTTATATAACAGTGTAAATTTACTGTCCCCTCAAAATAACTCAACACACAGCCATTAATGTCTAAACCGCTGGCAACAAAAGTGAGTCCGCCCCTAAGTAAAAATGTCCAAATTGGGCCCAAAGTGTCAATATTTTGTGTGGCCACCATTATTTTCCAGCACTGCCTGAACCCTCTTGGGCATGGAGTTCACCAGAGCTTCACAGGTTGCCACTGGAATCCTCTTCCACTCCCCCATTAAGACATCACAGAGCTGGTGGATGTTAGAGACCTTGCGCTGCTCCACCTTCCATTTGAGGATGCCCCACAGATGCTCAATAGGGTTTAGGTCTGGATACATGCTTGGCCAGTCCATCACCTATACCCTCAGCTTCTTTAGCAAGGCAGTGGTCATCTTGGAGGTGTGTTTGGGGTTGTTATCATGTTGGAATATTGTCCTGCTGCCCAGTCTCTGAAGGGAGGGGATCATGCTCTGTTTCAGTATGTCACAGTACATGTTGGCATTCATGGTTCTCTCAACGAACTGTAGCCTCCCAATGCCAGCAGCACTCATGCAGCCCCAGACCATTACAATTCCACCACCATGCTTGACTGTAGACAAGACACATTTGTCTTTGTACTCCTCACCTGGTTGCCATCACACACAATTGACACCCTCTGAACCAAATAGGTTTATCTTGGTCTCATCCGACCACAGGACATGGTTCCAGTAATTCCATGTCCTTAGTCTGCTTGTCTTCAGCAAACTGTTTGCGGGCTTTCTTGCGCATCATCTTTAGAAGATGCTTCCTTCTGGGACAACAGCAATGCAGACCAATTTGATGCAGTGTGTGGCATATGGTCTGAGCACTGACAGGCTGACCCCCCCACCCCTTCAGCAGCAATGCTGGCAGCAATCACACATCTATTTCCCAAAGACAACCTATGGATATGACGATGAGCACGTGCAACTTTGGTTGACCATGGTGAGGCCTGTTCTGAGTGAAGCCTGTCCTGTTAAACCGCTGTATGGTATTGGCCACCGTGCTGCAGCCCAGTTTCAGGGTCTTGGCAATCTTCTAATAGCCTAGGCCATCTTTATATAGAGCAACAATTCTTTTTTTTCAGATCCTCAGAGAGGTCTTTGTCGTGAGGTGCCATGTTGAACTTCCAGTGACCAGTAAGAGAGAATGAGATCGATAACACCATATTTAACACACCTGCTCCCAATTCACACCTGAGACCTTGTAACACTAATGAGTCAAATGACACCGGGGAGGGCAAATGGCTAATTGGGCCCAATTAGGACATTTTCACTTGGGGTGGACTCACTTTTGTTGCCAGTGGTTTAGACATTAATGGCTGTGTGTTGAGTTATTTAGAGGGGACAGCAAATTTACACTGTTATACAAGCTGTACACTCACTACGTCACATTGTAGCAAAGTGTCATTTCTTCAGTGTTGTCACATGAAAAAATAGAATAAAATATTTGCAAAAATGTGAGGGGTGGACTCACTTCTATGAGATACTGTAACTGAGAGACGTACACATAATCTACAGTGCTGTGAAAAAAGTATTTGACCCCTTTATTGTTTTGCATATTTGTCACACAAATGTTTCAGATCATCAAACAAATTTTAATATTACACGTAGATAACTGGAGTAAATATAAAATGTAGTTTTTAAATGATGATTTTAAAATTTTAAATAATGATTTGAGGGGAAAAAGCTGTCCAAACCTGCCTGGCCCTATGTGAAAAAGTAATCCCCCCCTTGCTAAATCATGAATGAACTGTGATTAGCCATATTTTTTGGAAAGCTGAGTTAACCACTTGCCCTCCAGAGAATTTACCCCTCTTCCTGACCAGGCCATTTTTTGCGTTATGGCTCGGCATTATTTTAACTGACAACTGCGCCGTCATGCAGTGCTGCACCCAGATGAAATTTATGTCCTTGTTTTCCCACAAATTGAGCTTTCTTTTGGTGGTATTTGATCACCTCTGCGGTTTTTATTTTTTGCGCTATAAGCAAAAAGGACCGTCAATTTTGAGAGAAAAAACTATATTTTTGATTTTTTGCTATTAAACATGTCCAGTAAAAAATTTAAAAAAATCTAATTTTGTCATTAATTTAGGCCAAAAATGTATTCTGCTACATGCCTTTGCTAAAAAAAAAAATTCCAATACGTGTAAATTAATTGGTTTACATGAAAGTGACAGCGTTTACAAATGGCGGTATAGATACTGGGATTTTATTTTTTTTCTACTAGTAATGGCAGCGATCAGCAACTTTTAGCGGGACTGCAGGACTGCGGCAGGCATTCTGACACTAGGGGGGAACTAACTTGGTGTCACTGACATCCCAATGACACCAATACAGTGATCGGTGCTAAAAAAAAAAAGCACTGACACTGTACCAATAACACTGGGCAGGAAGGGGTTAATGTGAGGGGCGATCAAAGGGTTAACTGTGTGTAGGGAGTGTTTTACTAGGGGGCAGGGTGTGTGTGCTTTACTGTAAGCACACTGAGCAGTGTGCCTGAGCTGACAGGGTGGAAGACTGTTTGTAAACAAAACAGTCTTCCTACCCGTCGGTGATTGTCGGTAATTACCAGGCACCGCAGGTAATCACCAGCTGGGACCTGGTGACTGACATCCATGGCAGCGAATGGTGGCGCGGGTAGGGAGCGCGTGTGGCTCACGCGCGCCCCTTACCCAGAAAAATGCAAAATCACGTATATAGATACGTGATTTTATGCACCCATGCCGCCGTGTAGCAGTGAATATGCTATACGGTGGCGGGGAAGTGGTTGAATTACACGTGCCACACCCAGGCCTGATTACTCTCAGGTCTATTGCATCAAGAAATCACTTAAATAGAAGCTGTCTGCCAAAGTGAAGCATGCTAAAAGATCTCAAATAGCAACACATCATGCCGTGATCTAACAAAATTCAAGATCAGATGAGAAAAAAAGTAATTGAGTTGTATCAGTCTGGAAAGGGGTACAAAGCCATTTCAAAGACTTTGGGACTCCAGTGAACCAAAGTGAGAGCCATTATCCACAAATGGAGAAAACTTGGAACAGCGGTGAACCTTCCCAGGAGTGGCCGGCCTACCAAAATTACTCCAAGAACACAATGAAAAATCATCCAGGAGGTCATAAAGAAACCCAGAACCCAGAGCATCAGTTAAGGTCGGTGTTCATGATTCAACAATAAGAAACAGACTGGGCGCAAATGGCATCCGTGGAAGAATTGCAAGGCAAAAAGCTACTGCTGACCAAAAAAACCCACAAAAACTCATCTCACATTTGGCAAAAAACATCTTGATTATTCCCAAGACTTTTGTACAAATATTCTGTGGACTGATGAGACAAAAGTTGAACTTTTTGGAAGAAATCCACATTCTGATGCAGCACTATTTGACCTTCAAATAGATTGGGTGAGTAATTTACACCACTGGGATGGAACATGGGGACTGTAAAGCACAAACACAGAGAGTGTAAGGAAACCTGTTCACTTGTCACTGATGTGGAATTTAATGAATGCACATGAATGCTGTCAAAAACAAACATTTGACTACACATACACTTAAACTGATCTGTTGGAAAAAAATGTTTGGAAAGTTTCATAGCTCCCTCCTCTCCTCTGTACAGCACCATGCTGATATTGAGTTACAGAGAGACAGTCAGAACAAACAGATCCTGCTTTGCTTTCTCCTAAAAATGCATTATTGTGGTTGTACCCCGTATTAAATGTTTATTTCTAAAATATATATTAATTGTAAAAAACTCTGAAAAAAAAATGTAAGCACGTAAAAACATTAAAATAGTAAACGTTAAAATAATGAAATGTTTATATTTGTAAAAAGAAACAAACAAAAAAAACAGCAAAAGAATATTTCCAAAGCAAAAATATTTTATATAAAATAGTAAAAAAAAAAGATATAAAATCTGTGAAAAAGTATACACTTAAAAACATTAAAATAATAAATGTTAACATAATTTAAATAACTAAATGTTTATTTCTAATACAAAATAATTAAATGTTTATTTCTAAAAAAAAAAGAAAAACTTTTTGTAAAACAAAAATATTTTATATAAATATTAAAAAAGGATATAAAATCTGTGAAAAAAGTGTATACACTTAAAAACATTAAAATGGTGGGGGTGGCCAGATGTAACACGGGATGGACGCCTATGAACAGAACTTCGGTTCATCCTGACCTATCCTGCTCCTCTACATCCAATTCAGGTAGCTGCAACCCCTGATTCTAGGAGCTGTGCCTCCTCTGCTCCCTCCGACACTGCTGACATGCCATCTAAGGGCTGCTCCTCCAACGCGATGCTGGTCAAAAAGCAGATCGCCCCAGCGGCTACATGTGCCAATGCTATCTTGGCACACAAGCTGCAAGAGCTGCTGGCAGAGATGGACCTGGCTAAGAACAGAGAGCAGGCTGCTCTTTTCCCTGCACTACCACTCACTACTACCACTCAAGATATTAACTCTGCAGGGTGCCCAAACTTTTGCAGACGCCATTTTTTTTGTTTTCTGTTATTTTGAAAGTGTAAATGATGGAAATAAAATCTAACTTTTGTTGACATATTATAAAAATGTCTAATCTGTAATTTGATGCCTTTTGGAGATTTTTCCATCTTTCCTTGGCTTCTTTATGCACATTAATACAAATTTTTAGCTGGGGTGCCCAAACTTTCAATCCCCACTGTACAAACTACCAAATAGCACAATCCTCCGACAGGCCCCATTGATTTGCCAAATGGATGTACAAGGAGCTAAGCCAGCAATGGGCAAACTACGGCCCGGCGGACCTTTTAATCCGGCCCGCGGAGCTAGGCTCCCACTAGGCTCCTCTCACAGTCCGCCCTGAAGACCGGTGTAGCATGAAAATCTGTCTCCTATGAGGATCTGTACTCCCCTCGACGTATCTGCGCATGTGCTGGAGATCGCCGATCGGCTGCTAATGCCTGAAACTGGCACATGCGCAGATACGTCGAGGGGGACAGATCCTCATAGGATACAGATTTTCATGCTACACCGGAGTGGCGCGGGAACACGGCGAGAGGAACGTGCGGAGCAAAGGTAAGTGAATTGACACAGGGGGGACTTGGGGACTTAATATGGGGGATGAATTAATATGGGGGATGAATTACTATATGGGGGATGAATTACTATGGGGGATGAATTACTATATTATGGGGGATGAATTACTATAGGGGGGATGAATTACTATAGGGGGGATGCATTACTCTATGGGGGATGAATTACTATATGGGGGATGAATTACTATATGGGGGATGAATTACTATGGGGGATGAATTACTATATGGGGGATGAATTACTCTATGGGGGATGAATTACTCTATGGGGGATGAATTACTATATGGGGGATGAATTACTATGGGGGATGAATTACTATATGGGGGATGAATTACTATATGGGGGATGAATTACTATATGGGGGATGAATTACTATATGGGGGATGAATTACTCTATGGGGGATGAATTACTATATGGGGGATGAATTACTATATGGGGGATGAATTACTATGGGGGATGAATTACTATATGGGGGAAGAATTACTATGGGGGATGAATTACTATATGGGGGATGAATTACTATGTGGGATGAATTACTATGGGGGATGAATTACTATATGGGGGATGAATTACTATGGGGGATGAATTACTATGCTTACTATGGGGGAATATTACTATACTTACTATGGATGACACATACACATCATTCATCTACTCTTGGTCCGGCCCCCGGGTCCAATATATGAACCCATTGCGGCCCTCAAGTCAAAAAGTTTGCCCACCCCTGAGCTAGGCACACAATAACTCAAACAGTCTAACAACTCAATGACCAGGCAAGGAATGTCTTTCTATGCTTTAATGCTCGTTAAAATTGACTGGAGTGCAGGGTAGGCTTTGGGATACACAGAATTGAGTGCAGAAAAAAACACTAGACCCTCTTTACCTTGTCTACACTGTTCAGGATAATTCCCCTCTTGGCAGACAATAGAAGAACGAGCAACCCTGGGATTCCATGCAAAGGAAAGGTCCCAATTCAGCAGCACTTGATCAGATGCTTAAAGAGCAGTGAACAGTCACTAGGATTCTACACTCATTCCTACACTCACAACATCCCTTTATACTTGGATGCCCATTCCAATATTGATCAGACATTTCTCCTGAGAATCCAGGCCAGCCCTCTAGTGAATCCCCCTTATTTGGCTCCAGTTTTTCCCAGAAAATAGGCCCTCTAGCTGTTAATGAGCAGGGACCTCGATGATCTCCTGCAGACTTCAGCTACACTGCCCAGAAAGGCAGCAGCCAATCAGACTGGGGTCTTCTCCTCCTGGATAAGAACCCTGTGCTCCAGGCCCCAGGCTATTTATGCACTCCTCAGCCACACACTGGGAATTCTCCTCTAGGGATTGGCTGAAACTACATAAATATTCAGGCTAAAGGCCTGCCTCTTCCAACTCACTACATTCCAGAATCCACTAGAAGGTAGGGCGAAGTTGTTGAACCTGCATCTAATGAGACCAAGAATAGCCAAAAATAATCACACTGCACCAATGATTGCAGAGGAGCCAAAGAGCTAGATTTACCGGAACCTCTTTAGGCAACCTATTCTAGGAGGGTGCTGTTTCACTACATGGGCTCTCATACCTCTCCCCTCTCTTTTACCAATTGATACCTCAGGCCTTTTTATCTGTATCCAATCTGCTTTTTCAGTTTGATCCCCTGGACCTTTAAGGACCACTATCCCCTGTATAATAGCATACTTACATTGTTCTGATCTGGGCCAATGTACAGTAATTATGCCATAAACATCATACCTGGAATTTGGCTAGCAGGTGAGTAAAAGAGAAATTTGGAAAAATCTGGCAGAATCCACTAGAGGTTAGGGGAAAGTAGTTGAGCCTGCTGCCAATGAGACCCAGAATAGCCAAAAATAATCACACTGCACCAATGACTGCAGAGGAGCCAAAGAGCTAGATTTACCAGAGCCTCTCTAGGCAACCTATTCTAGGAGGGTGCTGTGACACTCAAAGGCTCTCACACCTCTCCTCTCTCTCTCTTACCGGGCCTTTTTATGGGTATCCAATCTGCTTTTTCGGTTTGATCCCCTGGACCTTTAAGGACCACTATCCCCTGTATCCTAACAAACTTACATTGTTCTAATCTGGACCAATGTACAGTAAGTATGCAATAAGCATCATACCTGGAATTTGGCTAGCAGGTAAGTAAAAGAGAAATTTGTCAAAAAGAGACTTTTAAAGTCTCTTTTATCAAATTCTACCTGCCAGCCAATTTTTGTGCTGTGACATTAGTTCTGCTTTAAGGACACTAAATTACACAGCTTCAGTACAGATTAAGCCCATTTATGTCACCTAGAGAAGTTGTTAATCATTATTTGTTAAGTGTCGAAAGATGGCAGAGTACATGAGCTCTTCTTAATGTTTGTTCATCCTGAACAACATTATGAAAAATATGTTTTGACATGGTAACATCTACACTTGACAGGCACAGAATAGATAAA